CACTCACTCACCCTGGACGGGACGCCAGTCCATCACAGGACACACACTCACTGACACACACACTCACTCACCCTGGACGGGGCACCAGTCCATCACAGGACACACACACACACTCGCACCAGGGCCAGTTTTCCCCAGGAGCTAATTAAGCCACCAGCATGTCTGTGGACTGTGGACTGTGGGAGGACACCCACACAAACACGGGGGAGAACGTGCGGACTCCACACAGACAGCACCCCACACCCAGAACTGAACCCCCTGCTCCACCACAGCGCCCCGGCCTACACGCTGGATCAGGCACGGGCCTCCCACGCGGAACAGAGCTCATCAGCAGAAGCCCGTCAGCATCTTCAGTGACAAAAACACACGCAGCAGCAGGGCCTGACAGGGCACGGGCCCACGACCGCGCGCGCCTCCACGCGCCAAACCCGCTCATAGAGACAGCGACCCCCAGCTCCGCCGGGCGGGGCCCTATTGGCCCAGCAGCTCGTCGATCTTCAGGGTCAGCCTGTCGGAGAAGAAGGCGCCCTCGTTGTCCCCGCCCCCGAAGACCAGCAGCGCGTGTGGACGGGGCTCGGGGCCCTCTGGGCCCTCCGGATCCGCGGGGTCCTGGGTGAGAGGGGACCAACGTTCGTCACGCGCGGCGGGGGCAGCGGAAGGCCGCGAAAATACCCAACGCGCATCGTGTCGTTCGGCCTGGGCTTCGGCGGTAAGCTGCGTACGAGAGCCCGGCGATGTGTCAGACTGCAGCGGCCTGGACCGCCCTGCAGCAGGGGCACGTCTGCACAGGCAACGAAACCTGCTCTGTCTGTGCCGGCTTGAGCCACCGAAGGCAGCGTCTGGATTGCTTTCTCTCCCGAGATATAGCGCCTGGTCTTGGGGGGGGGGGGGTTCACACAGCCCCCCACAACAGAACCGAACAGGTCTGATTTGTTTCTGCTGCTGAAAGGGGTGTTCCCGAAACGCAGCGCCTTCGTGTTTCGGGGAGTCTCGTGGCTCTGAGTGACGTCCCAGCCCCGAGGACAGAAGGCGCTATATCTCCCGCCCCTCCTGGGCTGCTCCTACCTGCTCTGCGCCTCCCAGGGCGACGATGGTGTGGCCGGCGCGGGGCGTGGCCGTCAGGAGGGGGTGCACGATGGCCGTCCACGTGCTGCTCTCTGCAAGAGACGGGGTGCGCACGGTTAACCCCCAACACCGAGAGCGACCGGGCACAGTTCCGGGCCTGAAGGGAACGTCCACCACTGTCCCCCACTGTCCATAACTCTCAGTGCCCCACCACTGTCCACCACTGTCTCCCAATGTCCACCACTGACCTGCACTCTCACTGCCACACAA